AAAAGAATTTGTTTAAATTTTTCAACATTTTATAACAAATTGACAAAGTTAAAAAAAATATTTTAAAATAGCCCAAACCTTCACGAATAAAACAAAAAAAATTTAGCTAAATCGGTTCAGTAGTTTCTGAGAAAAAAATTCCCAAGTGGACCCCATTTTCGCCAAAACGGGCAAAAATTGCAAAATTTGACGACCTGTCATTCATTAACAAATTCGAAACCGGCAAAATGATGACTTAAACGCCCCCTAATTTCACATGGACTGCAACATATTTCGATTAGAGCAAAATCGGAGATGGTGACTTCCAAAAGTGATCGATTTGGCGTGGAATGACCCACTGTAAAGTTTCTCTTATTAATCTCCCAAATGTTCTTTTTGGAACATCATAATAAAATAAATAAATTTTTCCGTATTTATATATTTTTATTTCTACCACAGGTACTGTTTTTCGCCAAGCTGTATATACCGATTACCAGAAAGCACTGATTACGAGGGATGCTTAAGGTACATTCGTGATTTGCCGATTGATCAACAGCCAGAAGTTTATGGATTACACGAAAATGCAGATATAACGAAGGATAATCAGGAATCAGCGCAATTACTTGCAGGGGCTTTACTAACGCAACCCCAAATCACTGGGGTGGGAGTGGAAAGGAACATCGAGGAAGTAGTTTTCAATTTATGCGCTGATATTTTATCAAAAATGCGATCTCAATTCAATACTTTGGAAGTCTCTAATAAATATCCAGTGTTATACATGAACAGCATGAACACGGTTCTCCGTCAAGAGCTTATTAGATTTAATGATCTGATTGATGTGATTACAAGGACATTGGTGAATGTACAGAAAGCTATAAGAGGAATGGTACTATTATCTCCAGAATTGGAAGAAGTTTTCAACAGTATGAGTATTGGCAGAATACCTGCATCTTGGAGTAAAAAATCATATCCCTCTTTAAAACCATTGGGAAGTTACATCAATGATTTACTAGTTAGATTAGAATTTTTTCAAGATTGGATAGATAACGATGCACCAACTGTGTTCTGGATATCTGGATTCTTTTTTACTCAGTCTTTTCTTACTGGCGTTTTACAGAATTATGCGCGTAAACATAAAATTCCGATCGACAGATTGGATTTTGAATTTGAAGTGACTCCATTTGAAACTACTACAAAAAGTACACCATCTCGTGGAGTTTATATTAAAGTAAGTTTTTGGCAACCACGAAATGTTATTAAGTGTATGAAAGTTTATCTAATAAAAATAGCACTAAGTATCATCAAAATTGTTTACTAAGCATTTGTTAATCTTCACCAAGCTTCTGTTTTGAATTAGGGTTTATTTTTGGAAGGAGCTCGATGGAACAGACAAACAAAAGAAATTGATGAATCAAAACCAAAAATAATGTTTGATATCCTCCCAATAATATGGCTGAAGCCTGGTATCAAGACAGAATTTATCATAGAAAACATGTATCATTGTCCAGTATATAAGACAAGCGAAAGACGTGGTGTTTTGGCAACCACTGGTCATTCTTCCAATTTTGTCTTATACATTTTACTTCCATCATACATTAAAGAAGCCCACTGGATCAGAAGAGGTGTAGCTTCTTTATGTCAATTGGATGATTAACTTAACATTTTAATGTGACAAGTCCAAAAACGAATATTGTATACTTTTAACAAAATCCTAATTATTAATAAAATCTTTGTAAAAAGATTTTAATTGATCAATGACATTTGATAGAATATCATTTAATTAATAAAAAAAGTTTCATGTAAAATTTTTAAATATTCATAATCAAAAAGTTTGAAATATTCTTGAGAAAAATAACATTTGTAACAAAAAATTAAAAACTGTGGAAAGTTAGAAAAGCAGTACAATTTATTGAATTATGTTGATATACGATAGTATGTAATAATAGTAAATATTTTTTCTTAATAAGTAAAAGTTTAATTGGAATTTTCTTATTAAAATATAATACGACTATCGCCTGCCTCTTCCTCTTCCTCGTCCACCACGTCCACCCCTAGTGCCTCGACCACCCCGGCCTCGACCACGCACTGCTCCTGAAAGTATTAAAGTATATGTAAGTTCTGATTGTATATAAACTAAAATAAAGTATTATAAAATAATTTTGATAACATATTGATTTGAAATTTAAATAATACAAACCTCGTGCAGCCTCCTTCTTTTTAGCTTTTGCTTTTGGTGTATCGTCTATAAGTAACGTTTCAAGAGGTAAAGAATCTGGCAATATATAATATCTTATATTATTGCCTCGTAAACTTAATGTGTCTAATTGTACAGGGTCCCTATTTTTTATCGTCATCTTTACAGTCTTCAAATGTGTGTTCATTGCTACATCAACTCCTGAAAATAATCAATGTGTTATATATAACATGCAATCAGAAAAATTTTTAGTGCTTTTATAGGTTATATTGGCATACCGGTAATAGTTCCGTGTACCTGAGTGCCATTTTTCAATTCTATCGTTACAGTCTCATGACTAAGTTTCATTAAAAACCTAAAATCACAATATTATAACGTTAATTAGGTTAATTTATGTTATAAATAAAGAAAGGTTTAAGCGTTATGTACAATTATTACCAAACTTTACGATATTAATGAATTATTCACGTGTCTAATTTTACACGAATATTAAGATAAATTTAAATTAATTATTGCTTTTTAAGTATACATACCTTACTAGCTTCATGATGCTGTTAAATATTATATTTATATCATAAACAAAATCACAATTTCAACTGTATCATGCCGTTTTCCCTACTGCTCGCTTATAGCCCTATCAAGTCCTATAGAACGCTATGTGTTCCAAAACTTTATTTTTTGTGTTCAAAACAATATTTTCTAATTTTTATAATAACGCTTATTACTTGTATTCGAAAAAACTATTTGAATTTAATGTAAGCAATTATCACTGTTAAAAAAAGGTAAAAATTCTAATTACTATAAAAATGTAATTATAATGAAGGAAGTATAAAGATGCAAAATTATTAAAATAAATTTGTTTTTTTTACTTTAGGTTTTATGAATTAGAATTAATTATATTGACATGTAGAACTGCATAAATAAATTAAATTTTCTAATATTTTATTTTATATTTAATATAAAAACGACATAAGAACTTTATAATGCATCTGATGAAAAATATATTTTGTTTTTATTCATGTAAAAATAATTATATATATTCTATTTTCTAAAAAATTTTAGTATGCTAATTTTATAAGCAATTAAGATAAGGTCTATGTAATATATTTAAATCATATGTATTGCCATATTAAATAAAAAAAAAATAGTAATACCGATATAATAATTAGTTATTATATTATAGAATTTATTGTTTACTGTATTGTTCTTAACTTATTAGATTTTGTCATTTTAATCTGTCCACAAATTAGTTGTAATGAAAAAGTGTAAAAGAAAATTGTTCATCAACTTTTTATTTGTATCAAATTTTAAATAATAAATCAAATAACAACACATGATTTACATGCTTTTGCATTGATTAAATTTAAAATAGATTTCATTCGTCCTTCTGACCCCACATCATATGTCTGTGGAAATGCTACTCCATCAGGTCTACTGTATATTTTCTGCATACATTGTTCCCACTTAACTGGTGAAACAATTTGTTTCATAATCCATTTTTTCATATAACGTAAATTTGAATATGGTGTTGTTGTAACATTGGAATATACTTTACACCTAGGTTCATGTACTTCTATTGATTTTAAGGCTTGGAAAACTGATTCTAATGCTGGTTCCATTAGTCGTGTATGGAAAGCTCCTGATACTGGCAATTGATTTACATTACTTAAACCATACTTAGCATGGTGTAATTTAATATACTTTAATGCTTCTTCACTTCCTGCCAGTATCTTTCTTTGTGTGCATAAAAAAATAGCAGTTCTAAAATCAATTAGTCATATAATTATATAAGTATACAAACTATTGTTTGCTTAATAATCATCAAAGTTTGAATAAAAAATCTTACCTACACGTAGGTTGCTCAACACCTAGATCTAGTGCCCACTTTTCTGCATTTGTACAAGCCTCTGAAAGTCTTGCATTTATATCACAAAATACAGACACCATTCCTTGAGGTACTTTATCAGAAGCTGCTTGCATAGCTTTTCCTCTAGCCCATACTAATCTTATTCCATCTTCAAATGTTATAGCACCAGAAAAGATTAAAGCAGTTATTTCTCCTACGCTATAGCCTGCTGTGGCAATACAATTTTCAAATGCTTCAGGCGATTCTTCACGAACCTTTTCTAATGCTGCTAAAGATGAAACTACTGTACAAATTTGATTATATTCAGTTCTATTTAATTTTTGTTGAGGTCCATTCATACAGAGATTTAATAAATCATAATTAATAATTTCATTGGCTATTTTGAAAAGTTCTTTAGTAACAGGAAACTTTATGTATTTTTTTATCATGCCAACTTTAATCGTACCCTGTCCAGGGAATAGAAATACAGACTTTGTCGTTGGATCAATTTCTTTTCTTTCCTCATTTTGTTTAGTTACAATATCTTTAGGATATGGAGTCGTAGACCAACTTTTATCTGTAGCATCAGTGAATGTTGCAGATTCTTTGAGCAGTTGTGACACCTTTTCTTCATTCAATTCATTTTCATTATCACAAACATCTTTTAATGATTCTTCTGTATGTAACGTGTCAGATATATTACCTTCATCTCTTGTTGCATTGTTTGAAATTTGGTTATACTGGTTTATCCGATAACATTTTGGTAAATAAGGTAATAATTTTCCAAATGATATCCGTTGAATCATTCTACCCTAAATAAAATTAAGAAATGTCTAAAATAGGAAGCTATATAAATCTCAAAAACAGAAATCTTCAGTTAAATTAATTATTACTATTTATAGAACCTGTACAAGTCTTATGAAATCTATAAAAGCAGTTCAATTACAAACTTAATAATTGAAACCAATACATAATTTTGCAATTGAAATAAAAGATATAGTTTTAAAATATGAAATTTTTATATTTATCAACAGTTTTTTATAATTTATTAACGATTTGTAGTATTAATATAGAATTATTGTAAACTTTATAGAAACACTTTACCGTATTTATATCATGCTCCTTTTATTTACATCAATCTGTACATTGTACCGACTTATGCTGGATCTTCATTGTTCTATTATCTCTGTGAAGTATTTTGGCGCCAATTTTAAATCGAATTATCATTCCATTCATTTTTTAGTTTCAAATGTACTTTTATATAAGACTTTATATATTCTATAATTCAATTATAGAACAATTATTCTATAAGACTTCTTGAATGAAATTTTAAATATATTAGTAATAATGTTACAAAGTGTAATTGTATACAATTTCGTAGAGTTGATGAATAGATTTCTGGACCATAATATTTGATTCAAGTATGTACGAGGTTTTTTAAAAAGGTAAATATAAGAAGAAATGCGAAATGTTGATTTAAATAAATAAACCTTTCTTCTTATTTTTTTTTTTGTATATCTTTACCATATTACATCTTTCTTTATTTCATTTTGTTATTTGTATTTTTAAATTTGTTTCCATTGAATCCTTCTTACGAAGAGATATTCTTATAATTTTTATAAATATTGTATTGCAAATTTTTGTTATAACAAATATGAAAACTGTCGTCTCAATTGTTTGTATATTAGTCTTAGTACAAATGCCAAATTGTCTTTTTAGTAATATGTCGTATGATGCAATAATAATCAGTTCATAAATCATAATAATTTAAGTATTGTTTTAATACGTGTTCTACACGTGCTATCTCTATACTAAACTAAAATTTATAATGTATTGCATGCTAAATTTCACAGGCATTTACTATTAGTCATCTACTAATTCAAGAATATGTGCAAGACCGTAATGCGATAGGTGCCACGTGTTAAAGAATTGGTATAGGTTCTTTCCAATGTTGTTTGAATTAAAATAACTAAACGTTTGGAACATTTACCAATAACAGAAATAATTTCGGCGTGAATCATCTACTATAATATTGTTTCGAACTTCGTGTAACTTTTTCGAGACCTAATTTTTCGTGTTGTTAAAAATAGCTAGTGATATATTCGAATGAATGGAATTGATTGTTTACTGTCTGATACTTGCGACTATAGAGAACAATAAAATATTATAGTTTTCTTTGCATTATTAATCGTTCTAAATATACATATGCAAGAAAGGAAAAGATGTAACACGGAGTGACGCACGTAAAGTATTATAAAATGTTTTCTTTAGAACTACTATATTTAAACATTTTTTAATCTATATATTTTCAAATTTTTAGGTCTTCAAATTTTCGATATTCGAAAGTTCCAAATTTTTAAATTTGCAAGTTCTCAAATTTCCAAATATCCAAGTTTCGAAGAGGTTCCAAAGCATTTATTTAGCAAATTTATAATTATATTATTAAACATTGGATAGAGATGAAAGAGGTTGAAAATAGTTAAGTATAGCCGAATAAATCAGTAGAAAATATAGATTACAAACGAAGAACCATAAAGGGGAAGGGGTAAAACGCGAAAGGAGTGGGAAATAACAGACGTTGCAACGTCTGAGGGAGTCGTGTCGCTACTTCCGAGGAAATAGCATCTTGAAGGATACCTTGTAAGTTCAGGTATAAATATTGCAATCTCTTAAAACTGTTTACATACATTTGCAATTTATTTATGTTTGCATAATTATTAAAAAAATTGATTTGCTTGGATAACATTTAAAACAATACATATGCATGTATTTACGATTAAAGCCATCGAAGAAAAACTTCCGTTGTCTGTTCTTTTTGAATAAATAAAATATTTTAAAATACTTCTCTAACATCACGTCAAATATGATCTTCATAATTTACAATTACATGTCGCTAATTTGAAGTAAATTTTTATTTAAATAAAAATCAAAACATAATTAAAGTTACGGCAAAACGATATAGGAAAGACAACTGCTTCTCTTATTTCTTCCTTTTCTTTATAGTCTTACTTTTTTTTTTAATCATATCAATTATTAATTAACTTGTTTAGTTAATTATAATATATGTAACTTTAAAAATAAGACTTTTTCAATCACAAGCATTTCTTAAAATAATTAAAATAACTTTTTTAATTAGTATATATGAATAATCATTTTTCTTCCCACATTTAAAACTTGTACTCATAATTAAACAATGTTGTTATTGGAATTAAATTTGATTGAAATAACTTACAAAATTTAATCAGTGTATAATTGATGCAATGCAATTTCATTTGAATATTAAACGTTTGTTGTTTATGAGAACTTTTGGAAAGAGAATGGTAATAAATTAAAAGTGGGAAATAATTGAACTAAAATAATTTTGAAATTGATATCATCGTTTTAAAACTATGTTTGCCAGCTAAATTTGGCAGATCTTACGTAACATGTTAACGAACGCGCTGTGACACTATGAAAATTCATATTATTCATTGTAAATTGATTTTCCATTGTTTCAGATTGCTATAAATCATTTAATATTTGACTAACAAATAAAATATTAACGTCTAATTTAAATGATAAATTTCGAAGTAACTATATTTTCATAGTATTAACGTAATATGAATGAGTTTATAAAAAAAACCGAAATTTTCGTAATTATGTGAATAATTGAAACATATTATTATTATAATTGATTAATATTTATGTGCACTTATTTGATTTTTTGCAAATTACAAGACAATTGTTAAAACACTGATTTTTAATATTTACACAAAAAACATAACGCTGTTTTAAAATATCTAATAGCTTTTATTCATTTGTAACGAACATCGAAGTTCGGTTGCTGTAAAAAAACATTTACAATGTTATGTACTCGCGTAAAAGTAGAAAGTAAAATACCGTTTGCTTTTTTAAATATAAAATTTTATCTTTTCTTAAAATTTGTATTAAATGGTGTTTCATTTATAATACTTATGATTTTTAATTGAACATACGATAAACATTTTAGTGATTATAATTTTGAAATAACACCACAATCAGGTTAGATAAACATTTTTTAAAGTTGAGCATGCCACGCTAGTAACATATTTAACATTTCTGAAATCTTAATGATTATTAAAATAGAAATTGTATAAATTGAATAAATTTACTTTAACGTATTAATTACTATGGCGGACCCATTGTAAATTATACACAACTGTTTGATGCTACTGCTATTATTCATTATTTTTAATAAATAATAATTCTTAATCATTTTTTGTTTAATACATTATTACTTTTTGCCATAATTAGAGCATCAGTATGCCTTATCATATGTGCTCATTTTCACGGCAATATTGAACGTGTTAATCAAATGAAGCACACCGTTTCGTAGCTTCATTAATTGTAACTTTAATTTTTATTAATATATTACAAATAATCGCATCATATTAACGGAAATATACTGATTTAAAAATTAATAGACAGTATTCACACTTCTCACATCTAAATTATTTTGGAATATATTCATCAAATATTTATTGAAATATGTGAAATGCTTTTAACGTTAACATAAATAAACAATTAATATTTTATATTATATACAAATATGGTATTTATATATGTAACAACGATTTAACTTGAATGTTAACAACCCTGTTGCTCTTTTAGGCTATATATATTCCAAAATGAAATTATTTGTTCATAAATACAATATTATTGAATGTTTAATATACTTAAATTTTAAATTCACATGTTTTAGAAAAAGATTACTTCATAATTTGAAAAGGAAGTAACATATGTCAGGTGCATAAAGTGAAAATGTAAATAAAAAGAATAACAGCTTGATTAATATATAATTTATTTATGACAAATAACGTTTACTGATATATAAAATACAAATTAAAATTTAAAAGAAAATATCAAACAACATATTTACTATAACATTTATACGTATATTACAAAGATCTAATAATCTTAAATAATTATTCACTATCTGGGGGATGAAGGAAGGGTAGATATTTTAATTCTTAGATCTTGAATTCTTTCTAGAGTAAACGGATAATTACAGTAACTAAAATAATGAAAAAACATAGAAATAAATAATAAAAAAAGAAGAATTGGGAAGTGAAATGTACACGTATTTTGTAATTGGAGGCGGTTGTCCGGGACTGAAAGCGGTGTGTGCCAGTTCAGTTCACGGACACCAAATTAGACATGGTCTATTTTTGAGCAACTTATAGTTGTTCGTTCCAATTTACTGGTTACTCATAGTAGAAACCCTACTGTGAACCAGATGGGGGGATATTTGGGGCTCTACATTAACTTCATTCATGTCCATTTAAAGGAATGTAACAAAACAATAGATATGTATTTACATTAGCACATGGAATTTACAAATTTCCACAGTTATTTTATGTTTTAATACAGACTTTTCGTCAATTTGTACTGGATTGAAAATTCGTTCATTACCAATTATTTTCCTTGTTATTAAATAACAATATAATAACAATAACTTGATATAACAGCGTTGGGCAAATGTGCACACGGAAGAGTTCACGCGTTATGACGCGCAGTGCGTTTAATGATGAGGTGTTAAAAATTTAGAAAGATATTGATTCTCAACTTTCAGGTTTTCAGTTTATGTCTTTCTATGCAATGAGCATTTCAACTTTAATGCTTTTTACGTTTGAAGCGTTTCGAATTCGAGGCATTTTAAGTTCTAATAGTTCCGAGATTGAAGCATTTCAAATTTTACGTGTGGACAGTTTGAAAAATGTTTAGTTTGGGACGTTTTGAGTTTGTATACTAAATTTAAAACACATTAAATTTGAAGCTTTACAAGCTTCAAGATTTTCAATTTTAAACATTTTCCATTTGAGGTGTTTCGATCTTGAAGCGCACTAATTTCAGTACTTCAAGTTTCAAGCATTTCAGTTTTAAGGCATTTTGAATTTGAAACATTTCTAATATGAAACGTTTCTAATTTGAAGCATTCCAATTTTAAAAAGATACAGACTTGGAGCATTCTAAGTTTGAAGCATTTTAAGCTCCAAATTTCACTCAAATAAATTTGAGTCATTTGTAACTTTAAATATTTTAATTTTATAATGTTTAGCGTTTGAAGCATTTCAGTTTTAAAGTATCTTGGATTTGAAGGATATTTAACTTTTGGATGAGACATTTGAAGCTAGAATTGTAATTTATTGCATAGCAATAATATTGTAATTTTGAAGCGTTTCATATGCAAATTTTTCTTTCGACTCGCAAATGTTCACACAAACCCTGCAATATAACTAACGAACAACTTTTAACAAAATTGTTGGATTTTTAGGAAACGGAGTAGCAGTCTGATCAAGATGTCAAGGCCAATTCTTAGCAGGCCGCGTACACGTGTATACGGATGTAACTATGACAAAGGAGAATCGTATTATAAACCGATGGTCGATCATTTAGATCGAAAATACAGCGGTCGACCCTTGTTCTCTGAACCAAGAACCTCATTGGCCGATGAGATCGCGGCCCGGCGAAATGACATCGGTAACATCTTCAATCGTTTTCCAAAATGGTTTTAAAGGGTGAACATATCCTGCTCCTCTTTCCTTAACTGTTGCCAGAAACGTAGTTAGTTACATCACCGTAAAGAAAATGCTGAATTATTTTTCACTTTACCGGTCATTCGTGAGTGGCATGTTCAATCCAAACTCCCTGTTGTGAAACGAATTGAATGTACTTGTTGCATACGTTTAGCGTTACATACACGGTATACTTTATTCCAGTCAAAAATCGCCGTACAAAAAGGAAAAAAAAGAATTTCAGCATTAGTGATAAAAATAAAATAAAATCGTAACATAAAGCAGCATCGTCTAATGATTTATTGTATCCTGTGACACGAACAGTAACTTATACGTTATGTATACTATACACAGTGTGAGAGTGTTGTTTTTTTGGAACACTTTACAAACAAAATTATACTTTTTCTGTAGACAAGATATTTTTACTTTTACCGATAGTGAATTTATTTTACATTTCGCGATTTTAATTTAGATATGTACGTATTATTGTTTAAATATTGGTACGATTGTATGCCTCGTTGTTTTGAGATATGAACTGGGTACAATCGCTGCATTTTGAATTTAATGATAGAAATGAAAGGGTTTTTGAATTTTTGAAGCATAATTAGATATAGTTTACTAACAAATAAAATGTAGTGAATGCAATCGGTAACACGTTGACTGTTTTGGAGGTCATTAGTGACTGGTGGCACGAATTTTATATAATTTCATTAGTATTTAAAAATATTAATGAAAATTTTCAAAGTTTCCATATTTCCATATTGACAGATTGCTAAACTTTCAAGTTTCCAAATCTCCACATCCCTAAATTCCCAGATTCTTAAATCACCAATGTGTTGACCCTCAAAAAAATAAATAGACTAACAAAGTAAAATTCAAATATATCATTGCGAGTTATACTTACTATTTTATTTCAAATTTCAAATTTAGTTATATTACGAATAGTTCAATTACTAAGGATGATACACCATGATACTAATTAAAATTCAGTTCGTTTTCATTATGGCAGTCAACGTGCTAATTATTTTTCAATAAAAACGTGATGAAATGAAAATTAACTATAAGATAATTTAAAAATTTGAATCTGAAATCATGATTCGCTTCTATGAGGAAAATGGCTATATAAGGGGAAAACACCGTCAAATGCTGGATTTTTGTTGGGACTTTTTCAAAGTTACAAATTATCAAATTCAGTGATTTGGGTATTTTGATCACTTTAATTGAAGTTGGGGAATTTAGGGATTTAGGGAGATCCAAGCTTGGGAATTTGAGAATTTAACGAATTGAAAGCTTTTAATATTGAGATGTCAAAGGTTTATGGATGTGGGATTTTGAATATTTGAAAATTTGTTTTTGGAAATGTGGAAAATTCAAAAGTTTGAAAATTTAAAATTCTGAAACAGAATTGATTCTAAAAATTTTCGAATTTATATAACTTGAAAGTTTGAATATCTTGAAATTCAAGAAACGTGGAATTTAGTAAAATGAAAACTTAGAACGTTTGAAAATATAAAAAGTTGAGAACTTAGACATTCTCTGAAAAAATTTTCTGAATTCACAAACCTGAAAATTTAAAAATCAAAATTAAAATGATTTAATTTCGAACATTCTGAACTTTCCATTTCGAAAGTCTATACATTGGAAAATAATTAAAATATTCAAGTCATTCCAATAAAGAATTCATATAACTCAAGTATATTTAGTCCGTAATAGTTGTAAAATATTCTAAAGGGTAATATCTTCCATATAATAATTGCCGCATGCTATTTAATGGGATGTCCTTGCCCTGCACCGCCATTTTCCCAGCGGAAGCCCTCCATGCTCAAGCCCGTACATATCTTGAGGACTCGGTTTTTACAGGCACGCGTGACCTCTCCGGTCCCCGCACGACTTCCTTCGGCCATGACCTTGACCTAGAACTAGATTCCCCTATCCGCGCCCCTCCGTTATCGTCCTTGGCCGACCCATTGTTCCCCGAAGACGAAGAGGTCGTATACGACAGCCGTGGGCAACGAAGACGTCGTTTCGCTGATAATTTCGCTAGCGATGTGGTTGCAACAACCCAGCATCTTAAAGCGAAGTTGGCCGCCATCGGACTGGAGGACGAAGTTGATGCAGCCTTAGGTAAACTACCACGAGCTCGTCAAGATCAGGACCCCGTGGACAGCATTCTGAGCGCCAGGAGGAACGTGCACGACATGAAGTCCATCAGTGAGGAAGCTGAAACCGCGTTTAAAAGACGGTCCAAGCTGTTCGAAGAGGTCGATCGTATAGAAGAAACGAAACCATCGATGCTTAAGTGGTCCAAGTTGATCGACGAAGACGAGAACTTGGTTCCCGTTAGCGCGGCAGCGAGAAGGGCCAAGCAAACGAAAAATCGTCTAAACGATCTGGAGTCCGAAATGGAGGAGCTCGCGGAGAGACAAGCGAAACGCGAGCGAAGGGCAGCTGCCCTCAGGGCAATGATCAACGAAAATGCCAGCGAGTCGGACAGTATTCAACAGCAACAGGTTATCAGCAAAAAGGTGTCCATTCGCGAACGAGCCGAGAAAATCTTTTGAGTAGAAATGTGAGCAGAGTATAACGGCAGAAGATGGAGCTTTATTTTGTCTGAAGATTCGTTCTTCAAATACCCTATTATCTGAACATTTTCATTTAGTTTTGGCGATCCTGTTATACGTATTCGCGTTTGTATCTTGAGATTCGATGATTTTGATCTGACGAATTTTTTGAGTTTACGAATATGCATGTTCAGGGAGGAGATTTGTGCAAGGTTAATTATTGGTTGATTTGATTTTTGGTGTGGGTGCAACTTCTACTTGTTTTTTATTTAATGTTGGTGAAAGGGACGAGTGGTAGGATTTTGATTTTTATTTTGATAAGTGTCCAAACTGGGGGACTAAGAGTGGTTTTGTGATCCATTGGGGATTTATGTGGTACTTTTTATATGCGGATAGTGAAATAGTGAAAAGACAGAATTAGTACTATAAATTTGTCGTTTCTGGAATACAACTCACGGTCATAGCACGGGGGGTATAGTGACATGTCATATAATAATAATTATTAGGCTGTAAGACATTTCTAAATCTCGAAGATTGATAATTTCCAGGCTTCAAATTTAAAATATTTTAAAACTCTAATGTCATTTTAGAAAATTTCTAAATTCTAACGCTAAAAGTTCAGGTATTTTCTGAATTTTAGTGTTACAAATTCTCGAAGTTCCATAATTTCAAAAATCCAAAGTCTCAATGTCCTCAGCTTGGAAATTCTCGAAATTTCAAAGTTTCAAAATTAAAAAATTTCGAATTCCCAAAATTATAAAAATCTAAAATTCGAGAATTGAAACATTTCAAACTTGTAAAGTCTCAAAATCTTTAAATCTCTAAGTTTCACTATCCCAAATTTCTAACGTTCAAAAATCTCAAAATTTGAAAATCTTAGTTAAAAAATTTCAAAAATTGCAAAGTTACGAGATTCTTAAGTCCTGAAAACGAAGAATTTAAAAAATTCAACAATTTAAAAGTCCCAAAATCCCAGAGTCTCGAAACCATCAGAATAAAAAAAATCCCAATTTATAACGAAAAACGAGTAGATCTTTTACACACACCGAGTAGAAAGACATTAGCAATATTACAAAAATTGGTAAATGTCACTTAGTCGATGCCTAACGATATTTGGAAATATGTACATTCTCTATATTGCATATTTTATATATCTTGCTACTGTACAGTATTAAAAACAAAAAGAAGGAAAGAAAGTGCAACGTTATTTGACACGCTGATTCGTATTTACAATTAATAATATTTTCAAACATAGTTTTATAATTTTTATCGAAGACGGTTATAGCAGTAGATAATTGAAAGACTATCATTTAGTTAGATTTATATTAACATTTATTTTTTAATGAAACATTAAAAAAATTCTTTTCTAAACTAATTTTTGTTTAGCCGTTTTAACTTTATTGGTTAAAATGGTTACAATGAAATGTTAATTTTCTATTTTTATGCATCTTTGACATTTATGCCTGCAAATAAATTGGATGCTTTGTCGTCAGGGAGATGCGAGAGAAAGGAATACTTGATATTCGTATACTTTTAACAATAGTTCCTAATTAATTGAAAAGACGTAATTTATAGTAAATAACATTATGAAACTATCGATACATTTTGCCATTTAAAGTTGCATACGGAATTACATTATTTCCATTGATTTGTTTATTGTCATGCTTCAAATTCTGGTGAAGTATTAATATTTTAAGAGAATCGTGTGCTGAGCAAAAATATTTCTCGATGTTATTGTATGTATCTCTGTCCTCTTTTGTTTATAAATAAATTTCACTGTAAATATGTTACAAATGTACAATATATGTTTGAAACCTTCCCACCCTTCATAAAATAGGTTCCCCGTTCATGATGTGAGTACCTGTTACTTTTTCTTCCCATGCATGCACAAAAATCATTGTTTTGCATGATATATCAAATTATATCCAACATATATTTACATTCGATATCATGACTTTATTTTTTCTTTCAAGAAATAGTTGAATTAAACGCTTGCTTGCGTACAGGAAAAAAAATTTAATTAACTTTAAAATTGAAAATGACAGTAAATAATGATAGAACGTTGCTTGCAATATTTTTCTATAACAGCTTCATTGTGTTAATAAAAAATGATTACATTTCGTTAACAAATCTCATTTCATTTTGAACATAAAAAATAAATTGTACTAATGAACATTTTACATAATTTTATAATTAATTTCGAAGCATTTTGTTCAAATATAATTGCTTGAAAAATTTGATGGAAAGAATTAACTATAAAATCGAAAGATACGTGTATAAGTGTAATTAATATCAATATCATCCGCCTATTTTAGGGTCTCGTAATCTATCGGGAAATCGTAACGATTACTATGACGATTTGGATTATATATACGCCGGAGACATTCAAGATGATATCGAAGATGATTTCGTTTTATCTCAGCGACGTCAAAGAGAACGCGCTGCCGCTGCTTTCGCCGAAGATTTGGCTGATTTAAGACGCAAACGAAGAGATATGCAGGTTATACGCAAATTTAAAAGAGCTCGATTTTAATCGCATAACGCCATCTCCAATTTTCGTCATATCAATTTGATAATTTTAAGAAACATTTTCGAATATACTTTAACGCTAGAACTATTTCACCTTTAGATGCTATTTCTATTTCTAAACAAACTATTTTAGTTTGGATTTCTTGTTTTAAGTCATAGCAATTATTAGGATAATTGTTTTGATAAAATATATACGTGAGTTTTTGATTAGGTAAACAGTGATAAAGGTAAACCTTAGTTACATTAGTAAAATAATGTTTTACTCTTTGTTTATTAATTTAAATATTTAATTTTTAATTTAGCAGCAATTGTCAAACGTTGAGGGTTAGTAGTTCTAGCGTTAAAAGCAGAGTTTCTCACACTTTTGTGGGTTGAGATCCATTTTCAAAAATGGTAATTTGAAGTATATTATCTTTATTGTACTATAGTTCAAAAATATTGAAATTCCAAAATTTCAAATTCTCGCTGTCCAAAAGTTCGAAACTCCAATTATCTCCAACTTTCAAACATCTAAAATTAGAAAATTTTTTCGTTCTATAATTTCAAACTTCAAATATTTCAAAGTCCCAATGTTCCAACATTCCGAAGATCTAAAATTCTAAAAATCTGAAATTTCAAGCCTATACAGTTCCAAATTTTAAAAATTCCAAAATTCCAACAATTTGAATACAAAATATAACTTTACCACTTCAAAACACAATTAAGTTTTAATTATTAAAAATGATTCGGTGGTAACCCAAGATCCACACCACGTGAACCTCTGCTTGAAAAGTATAAAAATTTAAAAACCGCAAATTTAAAAATTTCGATGTGTATGTATTCTCTTAACACATTATAAATAATGCTCTCCACCTTTGAAGTAAAAATAAACTTCAAGCAACATGAGATGTATAAATGAAAGTAATAAACTCGATTTTTGTGCTGAAACCTGGTGTGAATTTTTCTACGTTCGCTGATGTTTTCTGTTTTCCAGGATCGTATATTCGACGTAATCGATTTAAACGCCGAAATCGAGAAAGCCAAAAATACCCTGGAAGCAGCAGATGTTGCTTTTCAACGACATGCCACGAAATTCGATAACACGTATGACTACGATGACATGTCATCGAGAAAGGTGTTGAGCGTGGATATGGTACCAGAAAAGACATCGTCTAAATCGATCAAATTCATTAAAGTCCCGAATGTTGATATGGAATCGTGCATACCGCAATCGATCACACCGAGACACGATAGAATTAATTCGTTAATAGAATCGGCCGAAGATGCAAATCCAATGAACACTCTTGCCTTGCAACCGTTGAAAAGAAAATTCTTGAAAAGAAAGAAAAATGTTTCCTTTTAAAATTTTCCGGGTGAAAACTTCAACGCGTTCGCTATCACCTCGTTCATTCACTCTCGTCTATAAAATATAGAACAATTACTATTTCAGTTTCATCATAGTAAACTTTTATTACTCTTTTGTTATTGTAGTAAACTATTAATAGTTTCTGTTATACGATCATTCGGTTAGATATTTTTATAAATCTGTTACCGTGTTTAAGTATCATTTTACTAAATTGGCAAGTGCAGATTAACTTTGTTGCTATAGATTTGCTATGTTTAAAACGTTTAACAATGACAATGTAAGCTCAGTGGTGAAATCATTATCAACAAAATATAAATAACTGAATTTGCAAAGTAATTTGGATTTATTTTAAAATAATAGAGTCCTGTAATTTATGGGATGTACGTGAGAGTATATGTGAATGATGTTTGAATTTCTATAGCGATTTATCATTCATATGAAAAGGAATTTTCATACGTACCTAATTAAAAATGCTTCATAATTACTTGAACTTATAATTGAAATAGACAAATATTGTAAAAGAAAAAGAGGTTAGGAGGTTTTTAATGTGTTTATTGTGGTAGCAAACGTGTTAGATGATACTTAATGTTATTATTTTAATAAGGCACAAGTCAAGGAAATTATCTTTCGATGTTTCAGCATTGCAACAAATGAAATTAAATAAAATACATATGTGTTTATAAATGCTAAAATAAATGACAGCGTTATATTAATATTCAAAATCTTATATCTGCAGTTTTAATGTGCATGCACCTTTTTATTTATCTTAAAATAGTAATGTACCAGATATTACTATTATTGTTACATAATGTATGTACCATATTGTATATTTCCTGTTTGAAATACAGATTATGTATAGTGATACTTCTTTGCAATTTTATTTTCATACCGTCGAACTTTTACGTCCTGAAATTGGTCATTAATATGCAACATCTTAATTTAATATCAATGTCAAGAAGCGATATTTTTGACCCTGCGCTTATTTTTTATCATATATTACCTTTACTTGACCTTTACTTGACCTTTAATAAATGTTTATGAATTTTTAAACTAGGCGTGTAATTAAAATGAAAATATATTATGAACACTTTTAAAACCTTATTTACACTTCAACTTTATTAGTCCATATACAGAAATAGAATTGCTAATATACAATATTTAAGTAAACGAAAACATGTTAAATAATATTTGAAAAAAAAGTTGAAATACTTACGCCAATCGGAAAGGTTGTAAGTCATAATTTTTAATAATAAAAAAAGTTTATAAATAAAAATATTGATTTCGATAGAGAAATGATTATACTTGATTGACATAAGTAAACAATAATAAATAATACCAAAATAATAAAGATCACAATAAAATTAAATAATTTCAATTATGAATAAATATAAATTGAATTATGTCCCTATAGAGGGAAAATAACCATCTGTTTTATTTTTACAACATAAAAATTGGATTTGCAAGTAATCAATGGACAGATTTCACAAATGATAAATATGCTTGAATGAATGGTTGTTATTATTACTGAAAAATGTAGTATTATGTGAAAACATGTTACAATTAAAATTATATCTATACCACATGGGTCGATTTTAATATACAGTTCAATTGTACAGTTACAATTAGAAAATAAATTCACAAGATTTTTTGATACTTCAAACTATAGTAGGCTCGAGTATGGTAACTGTAATATCTAGGATCGTGTCTCATATTAATTATCTCTTTCATATCTGCTGACCGTTTATAGCTCTTGTCAGTGTTCTTCTCGTCGTAGGTCCTCATCACCCTTTCGGCCCATTCTTGGGCTCGAGGTGGTTCACGGAATATTCCTCTTTGCCTCTGATTTAGGTAATCGATAACGTCGTCATAGTAATTTTTCCTAAAAACGAAGGAAAATGCTCGTTATCATAGTAGTTTTAATCGCAGAAATGATCATTCCTGTTATTTAAGACCATGGATTTTTAGAATTTTGGAAATTAAAAATTGGAAGTTGGAGATTTTAATAATTCCAGATTTTTTAATTTTGGAAATTTTAAGATTTTGGGGATTTGAAAGTTTTTGAACTTTGGAACTTTGGAACAATGGAAATTTAAGATGTTGAAATTTTGAAAGTTTAGAACTTTTGGGTATTTGAATTTCGCAAGTTTTTAGATGCCTCAAAACTTCAGAACTTTGGGACTATGCAGTTTAGAAATTTTAGGATTTTTAAATTGTGGAAAAATAGTTAGTATAAAATACAGTCTCCAAACGTCAATAAATGCTCTTTTTGACCAATACTAGGCAATAATGTTCAGATTAATAATTCTGTAAAACACTTACCTATATTCGTAAAGATACGCATAATTGAGAAACAGAGGACGAACCCAGTGATGATTGTAATGTGGAGGTTCGATTTTTTCTAATTTTACTTTCGGTAATTCCGCAGGTGCTGCTGCTGCACCCCCCTCAGCTGCTGCTTCTCCTTCCGCGGGTTGTTCTTCTGGGGTTTCTTCGATATCCCATGGCGCTGGCTCGTCGTCCCACATGTTTTTTCACGCTTTCGAAACTCTAATTGACCCTACCTAAAAGGGATACAAATCATAGATACCATCTGACCACCAATTTCCATTTTCTCGGTGGCTTTGATTTTACAGAAACAAGATTGACAGAAGCGTTCCACTTAAGCATTTCAAGTAGATTTGTTAAGTCAAAGTAGATAGTTTTCTCTTTAAGTAAAATGTTACAGTACTCTCAATTGGTATAATTAGCTAATGAGATATATTTAACGAATGAAAATAGGCCACGTTAAGATACAACAACGTGTTTGATTGTGACATGTTCGTCCGTGATTGTACCGAAACAATGGTAAACAATTTAATTTGATTTATTTATACCATCTATCTTTCTGTAACGTCCTCTACACGCTTAGTATTAAAGAGCAAACTTGAACATTTTTCAAAATATTTCGTATCTTTAAAATTATAAAAATTTTATATAATATACAAATAATACCTATATATAAGTAAAACTGGTTACTCAAATAATTTTTCAAGTTTCTCTTCACACTTAGTAAACAAAACTCATTTCATGACAATTATACCATTATACCGCTATTAAGTACTTATCTTCAGAAGCTGTATCTTTTAAAAGAGAAAATTTTAACTATAATGACACTTAATTATGCCCTATACTGCCATCAATTACGTGTTGTCAAAAAAGATACTACTTAAAGTAAAAATTTTTAATTAAAATAACACTTCATTACGTCCTATACTACCATTAATTATGTGTTGTCAAAAAAGATACGATTTAAAGAAGAAAATTTTAATTACAATATCACTTTGTTATGTCTTATATTGTGGTTTGATTAATTGACTATAAAATAGGTTTCACTGTTAAACGATCACAGTAGCATGTTCACTGTCACTTTAAACTTACGATTATCCAGAACTAAATCACAAAGTATCATCCGCAATGTCAGCACTTTACCTGCGTAACGATGGCCACTCCTCTAAGTACTTCTTCGGACTGAAAAAAACTGCTCTCGTGGACTTTGCCTTGTTTCGCTTTTATTTTAGCTTATAAGATTTTCCTTACCTTCCCTCCGGTCTTCCCCTTAAGTAAAACAGTGCCCCTCTCCTAAAGAGTTGTAGTAAAGAAACAAGCTTGGTAGGGAGGAAGGGGAAAGAAAGAGGAGGATTTTTGGCACTCAAACCGCTGTAATGATTGTTACCGCACAAGGCAACAAGTAATTTAGTATTTTATTATACAGGGTGAGTCATTTAACACATCACCCTGAAAAGCTGAAATATGTATTCAACAAAACAATGGTATCAGAAGAAATGAACAATAATTTTGTGTGATTTATTTTTCTTTTTAAGTAGAAGGACATGTGGAAGGACATGTGAAGGTCAAATTAATTTTTTTAGTGAAATTATACAACTTATAAGATATTAAACGATACAGCTTGTCATTTTTTTTATAAAAAAAAAAACGATATCAAATTATTTGTATCTGACATTGGTTTAGGAGATATTTAATTTCAGTATCTAACAACCTTTATATATTTATATTTATCTGATTATTATCTGATATTTGTCATTTATACGCTTACACACATAAGTATATTTATACATTTAATTTTTTATGTTCTATGAATTTGCATTTCTATTAATTTTTTCTTTAAACGTTCAATAAACGTAAATATGTGCATATATACTATACAGTTATGATTTATATTACATCTTCTATTTATTTATAGATTACTAGCTATAAAAACTTAAACGCGCATCGATCGATACAATTTTATTTCGAAACAGAATCATTGACACCGTACCCTGGTTTAGTTACTATAAATCACAAGTCGCGTTAAATACGCAAATCATTCATTAAAACAATAATTTGTAATAGAATTTCCATAGAAAAATACATTTCGTAGAATTAAAGGTATATTTTCACAAAATTTTCATTAATCGAAGTATGTGTGGAATAATTATAGAACTGTTTTAGAGCTTTTTTAAAACTATTTTATTTTCCGTCGAAAGAATATTTCAATATAACATTTCTGATATTACTGTAAATTTAAATAAAAAAATACACTGTTAAAATAAATTTTTCTTTCAATTGATATATTGCTAATATCGCTAAAATAAATATTCAAATTTCAAATATTCCCGTGGGGTCGTTTTGGTTCAGCTAATACAATGAAATCTACAAAATGTACATTTATTAATAAATAAATATGTATATAAAAGAATTAATTAAAATACAATAAATGTTTTATTGCCTGATTTATTAGTTTCTATTCTTAGAATAACAAAAGTTTTTAATTATACAAAATTATGAAATTAAAAATGATTGTGGTAGAATGAAAATTATACTTTCACAAAAATAACAATTTTGTTCTACACAGTTTAGTAAAACAAGTTAAACCTATATATAATATAAGTCTCAGTTGCTATAGTGATGCAAAAGGAAAACAAATAAAAGTACTCCATGAAAATGAAAACTTCCATGGAAAAACATACTCTTTCTTATTTGTTGATTTATTATTTAAGTGTTTTTCAAGTACTTGCTGCAAATAAAGAAGTGATTGAATTTTCTCAACCATCAAAATGTAAAAATAATGAATATTTCAATTCAACTTCATTTTCTTGCATGCACTGTGATATAAATAAAAACTTAACACCATCTGCAGATAGTAAGTGAAAAATAATTATATCCTCAAGAATTAAATTCTTAAATAATTTATTTTACAGAATTACGGTGTATATGTGATAAAATTAATAGGAAATTATTAAAAGACAATTATCCTATCGATAATATTTTTTATCCTTTAAATACAACAATAACTGCAAATGAAAGCAATTGTCTTTCATGTAACAATACAACCTGTGATTGTACCACTGATGAAATACAAAGTAATTTACTTTATTAAAATATGTTATAAAAGTATATTGAAAAAAGATATGCTTGTTATCAATTCATATATTTAATAATAATACAGTATATTATTGATCAAGCTTTCAAATTATATTACTATTTGTATTATTTTTAATTATATTTTAACTACTTTTTCAGTAAACAGACATTTAAATAATACATTTACAGACACTGAATGTTATATTTCATGTCCTAATAACCATTATCCATCTTTGGATAGAACCAAATGTTTTCCATGCAAGAATCTTGACTATAATTATTACATAGATTATATGTATCCAACAAATAACTATTATGCACCGATACAAGATCATTGTTCTTTTAAAGATTCTTCCTTCAATAAGCAGAATCTCACAGTTGTATATCAAGTAAAATTTGAAACAGGAAATATAGACAGTTACTATTTTAGAAAAGAATTACAAATTGCTTTATATTTTTGTAAGGTGAGGTGTAAAATAAAGTGATAAAGTATAAACAGAAAGTATAATGTAAATATATTTGTAGAGAAAAAATGAATTGGCATGTGAACATTTATCTAATATGTGTGTCTTAAGTCTTTATACTAATGATATTGCATGCACATTATTTATGCAACCTCGGGTAGCGCCTAGATGGTTATTTTATGATAAAAATGAGACCATGGTTGCATTAAGAAGTACACAAATCACACATAGGTACAATCTGTTAAGGTATAACAATGTATGTAACATGTATTTCTATCAACATATACTGTAAATGTTGTATACCTTTATAACTTAACATTGTAACTATAAATTATATTCTTTTAGGAAAACATTCTGAATTTTACAGTTGCTACGTTTTCTTTACACGGTATTTTTAAATTTATTGGTACACCTGACATGCCATGTCACTTACTGGAGCAGATTAAATTTGGCATAAATTTAAAAAAGAAATGTAAACTCACAATTAAAAACTTATTGATTACAAAAACAGAATTTATGACTCCTTATTTAACATTTATAGAAAATAATAAAATTTTGATGCATGCATTGCCTGTATTTGTCACAAATATTAATAAGGTAAAGAAAAAATACACAAATAACATTAAAACAATTTATTGAAATAAATAGGCATTATATGTATTAAATCATACATATTGTAAGTATTAAAGTTGTTTTAAAATAAAATTTCAAAACTGTTTCATAGAATAATAATGAAATATCAACTTGGCAATTAGTACGAAAATTTTTCTTTGTTGATAATGTTAGTGGTTTTAAAACACTATCAAACATTTCAGTTGATGAAGTTAACAGAGCTAATGAATTATCTGTATTAAGATACATGAAATCTTTAAATGTTATGTGAGTATATTTTATTCTTTTCATAAATTTTGTGATATCAATTAAAATAAAAACATTTGTAACATTTTTTTCAGCATTAATATTCAATCTTCAGAACATAGAAACAAAATATTTCCTCCTTTATTGATTATCGAATATGCTGAGTTAATGTATGAACAAATTAGTAAAACCATGGAAGTGACATTAGATTATAAAGTTGAATTTACTTTAAATGACAGCACTATTGATACAAATCTTAAGGTAAAACTTCCAATAATAAGTAGGAAGTAATTACAAACATTTTATTTAAATATTATCATTACATTCTTCAGCATTCTAATATATTTGAATATTTTCTCAGATAATCACTGGAATCTTCTCAGCATTAGCTCTTGTATTTTCCTGTATAAGAACTTGGAGTTATAGCAAACGTCATCATACTTCATTCTTTAACATACGTATACTACTTTGGGCTTTCATATATGCTGTGGGTACTGTTGGAAGCATAATTCTTTTAAGTTTGATCATATTTTGTACATATTTATTTACATTTTATAAAGGGCAAACAATACCATATATTTTACTTCCTGGAGATATAAATGAAGAAACTATTAAAATATTTACTATACTAGCATTTTCCTTTAAAGTAAGTATTTAACTATAAAACAAAAATATATTCTTAATATAATTCAATCATATAAAAAGTTCTTAATATAGTTTATAGAAATGCTTGGATTTATTTGTCAATATTCGAATATTGACATAATTTTTCTTGATTGGGAACAACCAAAATCAGCACATAATCAATTTAAATATGATTCCTCAAATAATTTTGTAAACAAATTACATGCAAACAAGATTCTAAAAAGTAAATACAAAGTGTTACAGACGCCATCAGAATTAATAACAGCCAAACGAAAAAAACTAATACATCAATTACATAAAGAAAGTAATTTTTACTATTTTGACAAATCTCCTATAACTGACACAAATAAAACTGATTTTTCATCGCAGTATTCAGGATCAAGCATTTCTATTCAAGAAAAAAATAGTAATTTTCACAGCTTTCCTATTAGCATTTGGAGAACATACTTTATTGCAAATCAGTGGTTGAAGCTTCAAACAAAAAGAAAAATAAGTGTAATAATTCAGTTAGTTGCTGTCTTATGTACTTATCAGGTAAATTTAAACTTTTAAAATAATAACATAGAAGAAAAATGTATAGTCAGAGTTATATTAAAAATTCCAAGTAGGTTATACAACTGTATCCTAGGATTTTTGCAATATCAGAGTTAACATCTAACTCTTCTGATGGCAATTACAATTTTATTCTGTATTATACAATATGTACTTTGATATACACTTCAATATACTGTATTCAATGGTTAATATCTATTGCATTCTACCAATCATGTCTCACAAATACAATACAAGAATTTGTAAATCTATGTTCAATTGCAAATATCAGTGTATTTATTTTACCATTTAATTATTATGGCTTCTACATTCATGGAAGGTAATACATATAACAGCAGTTCATAAATATATAATATTTATAACTAAATATTATTTTTACTTTTTAACAGATCAGTGCATGGATTTGCAGATATAGATTTGCCTACTTTAATGGATAATTTAGAAAAAGAAAAAAACGATTTATGTGCGCATAAAGGTCTTGTACCAGGGACAGTTCAACAAATTTTTATATTATCTTTAACACCATCTTTCAAAAATATGTTTAAGAAAATTTTTTTAACAGCAAAAACTGTAAGTATAATATAAATGTGTTTAAGAATGTTTTAAATTTATTATTTCACTTTTTTTCAGAAACAAAATAATTTCCTGAAATCATACTCTGTTACTAGTATAAACTGGAAACAAATTTCTGATGGTCAATTTAAATTGAAACAATTTTTGTATAAGTTTGTAGATCACTGTTTGAAAGAGGAAGATTATATTATTAAAGAACAACATTTCTTTGAAAAGTTATTTAATATTTTATTTCCTCATAATGAAGACAAGTCAATTTTTTATATTGGTAATTATTCAAAATATATATAAATCAAAAGAGAAAAATATATTTAATTATGCCTCATTTATAATATTTGCAGATAATAAGTACTCCTTTGATGAAGTATTATTGTATGGAAATGAGTGGTTATTGGCAACATTTGAAATGTCAGTATTCGTTTTCATCATAGTATTATGTAAAGATTGTATATTGGCTATTACAATCACAATATTAATATCTGTATTATTAATTACAATAGTTGAGCATAATAGTAAAAGAAATTTGGATAATAATACATTATTGGATACAACATTTCTTACACAATAACATTTACATAATAATATCATGTAATTGTATAGTATTTGATACGTATGTACTAATATATGATGTCAAATGCTTTAAATATTATACTGCATCCATCACATAAGTAATTTTAAAATAAAGATAAAAATTTAATTATTACAGAGATTCATTTAACTTTTAAATTGTAATTTATTTTTAATATACAATGTATACAATAAGAGTGATACTATTTTATCTTACTATGTATATATATATAGAATGTTTTTCTAAATAATATTAATGATGATCACCATTTCCATGTCCATGGTCACCAGCTCCAAGATAATTTTCTATAGATACTACTACTATAAAAGTTGGAATTCCAAATCTAGCACCCCTAAGAAATACTCTCAATGCTCTAGTTAGAGGAGTTCCTGGTAAAGTTGTATAACGCCACACTTCATTTCTCAACCATGGATCCTTAAGTCCTTTCTCAGCCAATCGTTGTTGAACACGTACCAATTGTGGTACATCCTCTACCTTGTAGATATTAGGACTTGGGACTACGTATGGTGGTCCATGACCATGACCATGACCTCCCATGTTTATAAATGAATTTGAACCTGTAAATAATTTATTATAGCAGTTAAATATTTGAATATTTATTTCTTTATATATGTAATATTAAATATTAATCAAAGAACAAACAAATTAATTCGACTGCAACAGCTTAGTGGTATCGCAACTCTCAAATTTTCGTCTTAATGGTATTTATTTATGACAAAATTGAGAACCTCTAATTTAAAGAGTTAGAAACTTGTTTATAAAGCTATCTTCAAGGACCTTTCAATGTTATTATTTCTCTCTATTAATATGTATATTTTATTATAATATATTTAATATTTTTATGGGTACGATCAATACAATTTCAATGAAATGTAGTGCTACAAAGAATATGAACACAGTAAACTAGATCCTTACTTAGTCTTTAAATTAAATGCAATAAATTTGTTACACTAATTTTTCACATAATCATAATTCTCCTCATTCTTATTAAATAAATATACAATAAATACGTTTTATAAAAACTTTATAACCTGTACAACTGACTTAAATCGTTAATACCAAAGTTAGGTTATCATATATCTTACATTAAAAAAATTACTACTAATTTTATTACATGACTTTGTCCTTGTATCCTGATTAAAATTGTGTAACAGTTGTATTTATTATTTTATAATAATGTTCAAATTTACCTTCTAAAGTTAAAGTGACTGAAAATACAGTCCACTACAAACACTGTTATATATCTTACGTAACTGTTTTACATTATGAGTGTGTACAGTATCGCCTGAATACAACTTCGATACTCGCACCTGGTAGGGGTCAGAGGTAGGATTTCGAATTTTGACGAATCTTCCGAAAAGCAAATGAATATAGCGTGCAAATTTATTTGACAAAAAATAGATTATATTTGCATTTTGATTTCAGGATCCTATAAACCAGAATATGGCCATAATTTCAGCATTTACCTATTACAAATGAGTGTGGATAAATAGAAACAGAATACATTCATTATATTTGGTTTATTTCTGTTAGAAACTTGCAGTTGTTCGATTCGTACATTTCTAATTTCGAATTGATTAACGCATACTTTTTTATAATTTCTTACTCTGCATTTTTCATTAATTCTTTTTTTTCTTCTTTTTCTTTACATTTTCTTAGCATGTATTGTTCATTTTTTGTGGCTTTTCATTGCTTTTATCAGTTTCCTTTTTCATTTAATATTTTGGGTTTTCGTTTTATTTTTTGTTTGACATATAATACATATTTCAGCACACAAACACCTATATCTATGTACAGGTGTAATGACCCTGGAACCTAGGTTCAGTTTGTTACAAGCGCTAGGAAGGTAAAGAGCGGTTTTTAACGACTCGTTCTCGCAAATAAAGATTGTGGGATTCGTGTGGTGTGCGGTTAAAGAGTGAAATCCACAGGTCAATATCTTTCAACAATAAGATTTATTCAATAAACGATAAGAAATGAAACTAACAAATAACAATAACAACAAAATAAAGAAAAGTATATAGATTCTAAATGATTAATTAGAATAAAGAATTAAATAGCGTTTGAGATAATAATAATTATTGAAATAATACAATTTGACAAATTAAACAAAATGTAATAGATAATCATGAATTTAACGAAATGAAACTCGCTGGTTAATACTTTATATTGGATCGTATCTAAATCTGATCTTTGATAAAGCTAACTTCGCTTTCGTAATGTTAAATTCGGTATTTTTAATATACGTATTTGACTCTCGCATTTGAGGCTATCGCAATGACAAAATTTATCTTGATTTGTACGATTGATTTGTATAAATGTTCTTTGACGATATTAATTAATATTAGCGCCTTATAGTCTACCGTGGCGAGGAATCCGACCTAAGTGTGATTCTCTAAGTGTACCTAAATACGCTTTCACAAAATCTAGCGCGGTGTAGTCGACTACGGAAATTACGCTAAAGTGAGAACAGTATTCTTTTATTAACTCAAATGACCAAAATTTATCTGAATCTAAGGAATTACTTCTTCGGAACAGTTACTCTTTTAATAATTCGACTCGACAACTAATTGTCTATGACCCTTCTAGCCAAAACGAACACTGACAGCCGAAACCAGATCGCTTAATTGGGGAGCCTGCGTTAGCCAGCTACTAGAACGACCCAACGATACCAGAATCAGGTGAACAATATAAGTCTGGCAGGGTAGCAAATCAATTGATTCTAACATAAAGTCGTGATTGTTGAACTGCCACCCCAAGAAACACGGGCTTCAGAGACCAAGCCGCTCAAATGGGGAGCCCAGAGCGAGTTCCGAGAATCAGAAGGCGCGTTAGCAATCCGACGAAAAATCAAATATGAGTAGCTGAGAGCTATCGTTTCGATAACTTAGCCTTTCTTGGCGCTAAGTATAGCTCTCTCCCAAAGGAGTTTCAGATACAAGATCGTTTGAATGGGGAGCCCTGCGTTAGCCAGCTACTAAAACAACCCACGACCAAGTATCCAAATGGCGTATACCCGCTTGACCAATCAAGTATCAAGATTCGTTGCGGCCAGTGCTGATTTCGGAGTAGACGCCTACCGTGCCCCCACTCCCGCGCTAGACTGCCCACGTGACGCCATGTGCCAGGGACGTCGTACGATAGATTTGTCGGGATCCATCCGTGATTAAAAATTTTGCTTGCACTGTTAATAATTATTATTTTTATAGATTATTAAAGTTATTAATACTATATTTACGTCTATAAACACCTCCCATATTTTTTTATAAAACATTTTTTTATGAAACAACACTATTTTTTTTATAAAAAGAAAGCAAAGGTGATTTTGTAACTTCGCTTGATGCTTTCTTCTGCAGAAATGTCTACTCT